AACATAATAATCATTATTCATTCATATTCTTGAATATTGTTTATCCAAACAAGTATTTTAGAAATCCCAATGCCAAGTCTGATATCTACTTTTAGGAGTCTACATTTATTTATTTCGCATTGATAAAACTTGTATTTTTAAATAGGCTTTTAATCCATTTATTTAACTAGTTAGGCCATTAGCACCAGTTGGCGCAGCTGTGCCAAATATAAACTTTAATAATAGTAAATAAAATTTATTTACGTTTTCTTTTTCACTTAAATTTTAATGATTAACCACTTCTAGATGTTCATCTACTTCAAGATTATCATCTAGTCCATTTATTTTGAGTTTGAATAACAACGACTTTAATTTGAATGACATCCTTTGATGACTTTAAATATTCCCATGAATTCCGGAATTTACTTACTAAAAGAACAAATATATTAATATCAACTTCCTGTTAATGAAAAAAGCGGAAGTGTTCATGTGGCAATGTTTGTGTTGTATCTGAGGTGAATTTCATTGGTGTTTGTTCGTTGATCATCTAACTCAAAGTATTTCATTGATCTTGTATAACCGGTGCGGACCTTGGCATTTATGGAAAGTTTTAGCGCGTTATAGCACCGAAAAATTTTTTGTGATCATTTCACTTAAAGTATTATTGACTTTACTGTTAATTTATCACATGGCATTTACGTGAATGTTTGTAAGCTGTAATACAGTTATTCATAAATGAAACTTTGAACTTAAAAAAGACGACTTTCGCTCTTTTTTTTTAAAACTTTTATTAAAAATAATGTCACAACTTCAAGTAGATAGTTTGAACGAAATCTTTAGATATTTGGAAAGTGACAAATTTACTTTACGTTCATGCATGTTAGTTAATCATCTCTGGTGTAAAATTTCCATGAAATTTTTTTGGAGAAATGTATACAATTATAATATTTCGAATGTTAATACCTTAATTTCTTGTCTTCCAAACGAGTCAAAAAAAATTTTATATGAGAGTGGAATTAACATTTCAAACCAAACTTCAGAATATAACTATGCAAAATTTTGTAAAGTTTTATCAATGGACCGTGTTCATTACATGGTTAATAATCTTCTTGAAACACAACAATTTACTCTAAAAATACTAGTAATGCAGGAATTATTGAAAATGTTTGAGAAACAGGTCTCTTTAGATTGTTTAACTGTTTATTATTATGATTTTACCCCGAAAAATTGGTTAAAAAATCTCTCAGAATTACATTGTTACTCAAATCTTTCATCCGAATTTTTTTACCAACTATCACAAATATGTCATAATATATCATTATTAGACATAAGAATTGGAAATTATATTTCAAATGGATTGGCGAAATTAATTTCTGTTCAGAAAAATTTAAAATATTTTAGTATGAAACAAGATGACGATAATGATATTCCTTCGTTAATAACAGAACTTCCAAATAGCTTAATCAAGTTAAATCTTTATGGAAGCAATTGTATTCCATTGTCATTTATTTCTAAATTCTCAAATTTACAAGAGTTGGAATTATCATACAGTTATCAAGAAGATTTTATAGGTTTTGAAGAACTTCAACACATTTTTTTTCCACAATTGCAAATTTTAAAAATTAGGCGAGCATTTCCAAGAGATGAGTTATTAAAAATCTTCTTAGAAAATAATGGAAAAAATTTAAAAGAATTTTACTTGGGAGATTTTGGTGGTATTAGTGATAAGTCATTAAATTTAGCCATTGCAAGGACCTGTCCAAATCTTAAAAAACTCTCCACTGGATTTAGTTATGAATTAATAACATTACAAATTGTTTTTGATGGTTGTCAATATTTAGAAAGTATTAGAATTTGGTATGAAAAAAAGGCATTGGAAGCAATTGCAAAATATTCACATAATATTGATGAATTAATACTATATCATCATTCATTTAAAGCACGATTTGAACTACTTCCAAAAGAACTAGAATCTTTTTTCATAGATTGGAAAAATCGTGTACCGCAAAAATCACTTTCGTTGATTATTGTTACTTGTAGTACGCGTAGCTTAGAAAAAAATGATGAAAATATGAAAATAATTGAAAAATATAGAAAATTAGGTATTATTAAAAAATTTAAAGTTACAGATTTTAATGATGATGATTTATATCTCGATTTGAATCACTTCCGAAAGAACTAGAATCTTTTTCATAGATTGGAAAATCATGTATCGCAAAAATCACTTACGCGTAGCTTAGAAAAAAATGATGAAAATATGAATAAAAAATTTGAAGTTACAGGTTTTAATGATGATGAGTTTGAATTAAAATAATATTATATTTGTCTTTTAATATTAGGTCTTTTATATAAAAATTTGAATCAAATAAATCTAAATTGAATTTCTAACAAATGTTGAGTTTAATTTACTGCTTATTAGATTTTTGTTTGTTTTGAAATTAATTCTATATTACTCATTATGTTTCACCAATCCCAACCGCTTAAAGATAAAAAAATGATCACTCATAAAATATCACGCCTCTAACCCAGTATCGAGAGATAAATCTAACAACAACACTGGAACTCGGAACAATCTCCGAGAGCATTGGAAAAGAATGCAATATTAACCAGTTCATAAATGGCTAGTAAATGTTCTGAACACGAGTGATCTCAATACCTAATTTATAATAAATGGGATAAAAAAATTCGGGAAAAAAGAAAAATAAAATAATATATGCTGAAAAATCTGGAAAGAAAACTATATATAAATAAAAAACTAAATCACGTGATTATTGATGTAGCGTGTCATAATCTTTATATATCCTGCATCCACAACTCGAGATCTTTTAGATTTACTTTCACAATCCCTACGAAGGATTTTGATTAGGAAAACTAACAACCACTCAATTCTTACTTTTTTATCTTAATTCAAAGCAATAATAGTAGTAGCTGGTTTCGATACGAAATCTCGAAATCATTTGAACAAAATCTCAACAATTCAATATCTTGGCAAGTCAAAATCCTGACAAGTCAAAATCCCGACAAAATTATAACACATTTAAACTAAATATTACATATTGCAACAAATTATTTTTTAGAACACACATCACAAAATTGTCGATATAATGACTTGTCAAGAGTTTGGATTGTCGAGATTTAATTATTCCAGACTGACAGTACTTATGTCTGACAACAGCTTGAAAAATATGACGACTGACAGGTTAAGTGACGAGGAAATAACACAGGTAAAGAGGCGGTCTTAATACTAGTTTTAACAATTATAACTAGTTTTATCGTCATTTTCAGAAATATGTGTAATCCCAAGCTACACGATGATCACTTACCGTAGCATATAGTAGTATAGTACCCCCGGTTACTATTCAAGAAAGTCCGCTTATATTGAATAGTACCTGGGGGGATACTATAGGAGGAGGGCATAAATTTTGATTAGTACTGGGGTATTTTTCAAAAATACCCGAATGTGAATTTGAATAATACCCCGGTATTATTTGAAGGGGTACTATTACAAGGGGGTACTGTATGCAGCGCTATACGGTAGATTTTTGCAAAAAAAAATTTTCTCGAATATAAAACTTAAAACTTTTACACTTTACTAAGACAAAACATGATTTTTTTTCCATATGAACATACTGCTCTATATAAAGCTTTGACATAAGTTTTATAATATATGAAATGTTCTTTTGCCGCGAAATTTGCTAATATTTACGAGATTTTTTTGCGATTTTTTTGCGATTTTATAGTGTTAAAACTTTACGAATATATTACAAGACAGTAGGTTGTTATAATAATACGCAATTTTTTCCTTTCCATATAAATATATTACTTTATACAAGACTCTAATATAAATTTTATGATATATAGATAGTTATTTTATCACGAAACTCACAGTACTTTGTTGAGATTCTTATAATTCTTGCTTACTGAAGTATATTGCATGATTTATTTTTTCTGAAACATTTTTCTGAAAATTCAGAACTATTATAGACTATCCTGGTTCTTATTGTGATTTAATTTCGTTTTAAATTTTACTTATTAATCATCTTTTAAAATATTTAGCATTAACATGGTAGACTTTAAGTAATGATATAAGATGGTGTATCATTTACCATCAACTTGATGGATTTTCAGCAATAGAAACTGCTCTTAGTCTTTACATTGGCGTTTCTACTGTGTATGAGATCAGAAGAATTTATGATCATTGGGATTGTGTGTAATTCATCCATTTAAAGGTCGTCAAGGAAGAAGAAAAACTGAATCTTGTTGTTTTAAATGTATTTATTTGATTTATTATTATTGTAAAATTACTTTATTGATTAAACATTTGATATTACAGATTTTAGATTCACTTGTAAAAGATAAGAAAAGTTTGTTGCATTGTTGGTTTAATAGTTTTATTATAGTATTATAGTAAAGGCACTTTTGACATGTATATAACAGGTTCCTATTTAATATTATACATTTATACTAGGTTTCTGGTTTTTCAACTTCGCAATTACTCATTGTAATATTTTTTGTAACTACTTTTATTGTTTTTTGTACGCGAAGGTGCGATAATTAATTATTAATAGTTAGCATGTGAAAGCTGGATAAATATTATTGGATAATTTTAATTGTTACACAAAATTTCGAGTTTCGAATTTTGCACGTGAACTACTTTTACAAAATAGCATATTTCTGAAAACGGCGACAAACAAATTCTATGCAATTATTGTAGTAAACAATCTACACGTCTTTTGATTAAATATTTGAAAGTCCAAGTTTAAGATCATATAATTTAAAAGTTCAGTATATTGAAAAGAAATATTATGATAATAAAGTGAAGTCCATTAAAAAAAATGACTTATGACATATATCAAATATTTAGTAATTAAAGATGATAAAAAAATTTGTTAAGATTCAACTCTAGAAATAGTGAATTCAAAGTGCGAATAAGGTTTAGAAGAAACGAAATTTCTCTTTTTAATGTGAGATCCTTCAGTTATTTGAAAAACAAAATTTCTAATAAGAATACTTAGTATTACTTTAAATTCAACTAAAGCTAATTTATTTCCAATGCAACTTCTTGCGCCAGCACTGAAAGGTAAAAAATTTAAATTTGATACATTTTCAGTTAAAGTAGAGTCCAGCCATCTTTTTGGATCAAATTCAGTAGCTGTTGGACCCCAAATTTCAGGTGATTTATGAAGTCCACTAATTGAAATCATTATTATAGTATTCTATTATTAAATAACGAGAATAAATGTTTAATTAATAATTCAAATTTTTTAATAAAACATAAAATGATAAATATACCTTTGGAATTAAATAATTCCCAAAAACTTTGTCTTTAATATTAGTTCGCCTAATCATGACAGCTAAATTAAAAATTACAAAGTTAATAATCTGACTTTATAGATTTTTAATATATTAATGATATACCTGGAGAGTGTAATCTTAAAGTTTCTTTAACTACGCAATTTAAAAATTCCAAAGAATTAATTTCATCAAATGTAGGATTGAAATTTGATTTATCAGGAAAAGCTTTAACTAACTCTTCACGTAATAAGTCTTGCACATGTGCCTTTGCAGAAACCTTTGGTTTTTACAAAATATGTTAGCGATATTTTTAAAATATACCAGACATATGATATTCCTATTTATGTTATCTCTGTTTTAACTATATGCTGACAATATGTTGAACATATAATATAAAAATCTTATTTTTATATAGTAACTATATGTTAGAGACATGGTAAAATATTATTTTGAATGTTAAATTTATATGGTTATTATATGCCAAATATGTGTCAGAGATGTGATAAAAATATTATTTGAAATATTAATTTTATATAGCCATCATATGGTAAATATGTATCAATAATATAATAGAAATTCAATTTTATATAACAATCATATATTGAAAATATATCGAAGACAGAGTAATAATAATAAAATAATATAATAGCCATGTTTCAAAAATAATAAAATAATATAATGATTGTATGATAAAAATTTCGATTTAAATTAAAATTTCCTCCAATAAATTCATGTACGACTTGATTTTTGAAAGAATT